GGAGTCGTTCAGTACTAAACTGCAGCGTACTGTGTAACAGGGCTGCAATTATAAGATACAGCTCCATGTGACGAAGAAATGCAGCAGGTACTGGATACTCAGGTGGTGAGGACGTCACGCTCGCATGCTCCTTTGCTTTCTGCAGGATGCAAAGAAAGGCTTTGTGTCCTTTGAATAAATGCACGTTTAAACTAAAGTCTTCATTTGCGTAGCTTGGTTAATCGTAGGTTGGTTAACATGCATGTTAGTCTGCCGTCAGGTCCAGGCCTGAAATAAAATCATCTGATGGTGAAAATAGAGTTAAAGTTGTTTTGATCAAACCTCGCAAACGACCTCAAGCAACAATACGACGTCTCGCGGGATCTGTTAGCCCTTAGAGTACGACTCTCAGCCACTACCACCTAAATTTCAGTCGTGTAGCTGTGGAGTTGACGGGGTTATAGATGTTTTTGTGTTAGCTAAGTTCAGTTTACTATGGCAGCCATCTTGATCTGAGTTAACTCCAGATGTTAATGAGCTGGCACATCCAATTATGGGGGCCGAGGTGGTGTAGAGGCAGGACAACCAACTCTGGACTCAAAAGTCCCAGGTTCGATCCCCAGTCATTGCACATCTCGTGGAGTCTCTGAGCAGGACACCCTATCCCCAAAATACTCCCTGAGTGCTTTAAATAGCTGCTCACTGCTCCACCTGGTGGCGGATGGGTTAATTGCAGAGAGCCAATTTTGCCATTGTATGGAAACATACAGTGATGACAACACATAACACATTAATATTACTATTATTATTATTACTTTCTGAGAGCTTCCCCCAAATTTGTCCAGTGCTTGAAGAGTTATTTTGCTAACAGACACGTGCACAAACAGATCCAGCCAAAAACCCGATCCTCTGCATCTTTGGTAATGGGCGATAAAAATCACAAAGTTAAAATTACATTTACTGGGGTGGTTTGCAACAATAATCTGTGACATCATCAGCCCAACCAAAGACTTGTTTTTGAATGTTCATGTGTGTGTTTTGTACGGAACGAAGGAGTTTTATCTCTGAGCTGTCTGTAAATGTATTTATCTGTCAGGTTCAGATACGGAGGCGTCAGCGCCGCAGACGTAAGAGCGACGTGCCATTACACACTAATTAGTTGTCACTTCTCTCCACTGCTTGATTAATTTAATCAATAGTGCACTGATCCTTATATCTACTAATGTTTATTGTACATGTGCAGATTCTATAAAGTAAAAAAACAGGAAGTCCAAATGGAAAGTAAAGGCCTAGCATTCCCACCAGCTGGATTAAACAGATTGTTCAGAAAATGACTCAGCCAGTTTACAGACACTGATCTAACACTTGGTGTGGTAGTAGATGAGACTGTCCCCAACACGTACTTTGAGGGCAACACATTGTGCAGCATGCTGGCTTAATAACTTTAGACTTAACTGTTGGCGTTAATCATTTTGTCTGTTAGTAGAAAGTCACGTTCATGAAACCCAGAGAGAAGAAGACTGACAGAAAACAGACTGAAACTCATGAAATGATCAAAGTGATGAGATGTTAACAGTATGAAGTACACGAGAACCTGAGGAACCTGAGGAACCTGAGGAAGGAGGGATAGAGTGGGTCCAGGATAAAGGAGGAATCTCAGGTTGTTTGGTTTTTACTCGGAGGTGGAGATCATGACGCGTTGAGAGGAGAGTACGTAGTTCCAGGTTAAGTTGCAGGGCTGGTGGCGGAACGGCGGCTGAGCAGCTGAAGGATAGTCTGGTTCTTTTGCAGGCGAGGAAGTAGATGGGGGATGCAGGGTTGGAGACGCAGGAGGCAGGCACTAGGAGACAACAAGGTAAGTCACAAGCTTTAAGTTCAAGAATCACGAGGAGGCTGACACTAACAGTTGGCATGTAATGCTCCAGCAGGGAGAGGAGCTCTTCTGCAGCACTTTATACTCCTGGAGCTCGTTAGGGAGATGAGCCACAGCTGTTGCTCACTGGCACCACCCAGGAACCAGGAGCCTGAGGAAAAAACTGAAACTGTACACCCCGAATGTATTTCAATAAAACTCATTGACTGTTTAACGTGTAGTGTCAACCCAGTCCAAGATGGCCGCCACAGCTAATTGATATATAAAAAAAAACAAGAGAATGTTTAAAACAGTGAATTTTTGTGTGGTAGTAGCTGAGAGTCATTTACAACTCATGATCCAAGTGCAAACAGATTATAAAGGATTGCACAAGGCTACGCATAATGTTATTTTAATGTTTTCTCTCGTTTGTCCACACAAGACGATCTTGGCATGAAAGGTGGCGGGCGATACGAGTGATGGCTTATTGAGAAAAATCCAGCTAAAGTAAACATGTGTTGTCTGAACAGCTAAAGATGCAATCAGAGCCCAGAACAGGCTGGAACTGTGCGCTTGTGGCTCATACTGCTTGTTTATGCACACGGTGACAGACGGCTTCAGGAGAGTGTATCATTTACTATCAAGACATTGGATTCAGCAGGCATCTAATAACAAACCGTTTACAGCTCACTTAGGCATGCATAGAAATAAGTGGGCAACAACACCTACGTCTGCAGCCTGTAACACTCGGGCACCATCCGGATCGGCCTATCAGCAGACACGGGGGTGAAATTAAAATCGCTCATTTTCTTTCTCCGCACAAGGAGCAGATCAATTTCCGGAGACGGGGACGTGATGTTTTTCCTGACATTGGGCTTTCTCGTCTTTGGCGCAGCACCCTGACTGCCTCCCAGCAGGAGGCCCGGCTCTGCCTGCACGCCTCGCCGGAGAACAGTTACTTCTGCCGCGGCGAGTTTATTTGCGCCTCGCTATGAGAATTGCCATCATTTACCCTTCCCAACATCTCCCAAAACAGAGAAAAAGAAATAGACAGCCGGGGGAAGGGAGGGGAGAACGGGGGAGAGGCGAAATTGATTCTTTTTGATACATGCTGCTGCGTGGGGCACATTAGGTACACCTCGTTTGAGCACCTATTTCAAGAAATGAAGTGAATAAATTTAGCCTGATGTGTGAAACTTGTAGAGGAGGCCTGATTGTGTTGTTCTGGGACCAGGAATCACCTGCCCTCAGCAGAGGTTATCACCTGGATCAGGCTGGTCCAGAAACATCGGATCACTAAGTGCTGATGAGCAACTCTTTTAACATAAAACATAAAAAACTGACATCATTTAAGGCAGGTCTTCTGAAATGTGATTCTGAGGAATCACCATGAACCCTTACAAGGGTCAATTTGGTGACAAACACATTCTTTGGGAATTGTATAACTAAAAAAGTTAAATATTAGCAGCATGGTCCTC